ATTCTCTGTAGTTCCTGTAATCCACTGGGTAGGGGGTGATCTGTCGGCACTTCTGGTCTTTGAGTGTTTGCAGCAGAAGCATGATTCCTTCTAACTGTAGGGCTGGATTGAGAATCAGGACTTCAGTGAGCCAGCCTAGTAGCATTCCTCACATTCTCCTTTATAATTGAGTTTTTCCTCTTATTAAACACACACACACACACACACACACACACACACACCACCACACCACACCTACCTCCCTGGTCTCTTCTTCACAGTGCAACACAACTTTCTTCCCTTTGCCATCAAACTTCCCATAAAGCCCACACTCATCCCCATCCATTTACTTCTGCGATCCAGAGCAGCGGTAGGGACCAGCTTCTTTATCCATCCCTCGATTGGCATATATAGCCTGGGTCTGCCTGTCTCTTGCTCTCACTATCTCTCTTTCTCTCTTCATTTTGGCTCTATTTTCTTCGCACATCCACCTATTTAATCCATGGTATATATCACATTCCAAATCCTGGACAGAGCTGGTGTAAGTGGTGAATTATTATCTTTGCTTTGAACCAGACCTCCTCAGAGGTCACCTGCCAGCCTATAACATGGGCTTCCCTGGAGTCAGGCACTCCTACCTGGCTAGCCTCTGGCCATGTTCTGCACAAGTCAACCCAGTAGGGCTTCCTTGTGTAGAAGCTGAGGCAGAAGCAGTTTTAACGGTAAGAAAACCAGGAACTAGGCACCGCGATGCATATGTCAAGGGCATGCACTGTTAGCACTGAAGTATTAACAAGTTCCCTGCTCACTAAGCATTCCCTGCTTTCTTCCCGACTCCTTGACCAGAGGGCTTTCTCTAGAGCTCGCTCTGTCCAGCCCTGATGCCCACTCAAGGGTTTCAGGTTTCAACAAGTCTAGGCCAGAGCACACTAAGGGGGAAAAAATGGTGAAGTGAGGCAATGTCGGTGGTGCTTTGATCCTGGTCTTCATTGCTTCTGCTACTGTTTGCTTCTCAGATAGCTGGACCTCGCCTTCCATCCAGGTGTGATCACCTCCTCTTTTGCCTTATCTTAAGGGCCCCCTCTGACTTGGGCATTTAAGAAAGGGCTCCATCCACCCACCCCCACTCCCTAGTCATTCATCCACTTATTCTATGAATGTGCAGTGATCTACTACGTCCCACAAACTATGAGGCCTAGAAAAAAAGCCCATCTTTAATGTGCTCAGAACACAACTCCCTCAGGAGGCACCACTTCCTGGGTGGCACCCTGGCTTTCTCCCCGCTCTGCCGGTGCTCACAGTAGGTCTATACAATGTGAGTGGGCTTGGTTGCTTCCTTGAGAAGGCAGGTCTGCATGTGAGCTGGAGACCATCCTCACCGTGAGCTCTGTGGGTGCGGCTGCGAGCTTTGGAAAGAGTCATAGTTTCACACACACAGGTTTGTGGTTTTTGAAAGAACAGAAAGCAAAAAGCATAACATCTTGCAGGATTACTTTCTGCTGAAGACCAATTGATGCGACATCTGAAAATAATCAAATAAGTGTCTTGATTTCAGCCTGCAAATGACTTTGTGAAACTTTGAAAAGGAAATTCTCCACTTAAGAAAAAGTAAGAAAAAACTGAAATTGAGATCACGAGGAAGAACAAAGATGGGGAATTAGGAGAGTGCTTTGAATTGTTAATAGTATTTATATCTGTAAAAATGACTCTCTCTAAAAACCTGGAAGTGGCCTAATAACTTTAAATCACCTCACATAGCACATGCCCCAAACCCTAATAACCTCCAAATTCAATTGCTTATGACCATCTATTGGAGCATTCCAAAAACCTGAAGTTGCTACACAGTGAACAGAACTCTGGATTTAAAATTATTGAAGCCTTTGATTTTTTTTCCCCTCTGTGAGCTCCTACATTTGGAGAGAAGTCAAGGTACAGCCTAACCCCGGAGGATCCAAATATATTGAACTGATTTTTTACAAATGTTATCAGCCAAGAAAGTAGAAGTTGAACTGAACATTATGATTAAGAGAGCACAGAAGGGCAAAGAGAAAGCTGAAGGTGGCAAAAACGACTCACAGTGGAAGCAGAGCCTGTAGTGGAGATGCTGGCCAAGGTAAGACAAATTACGGCACCTTGGAGAGGATGATCTCAGGCAAAGGAAATTAAACATCAAAAACCCAGGCTCAGCCTAAGCGAGCCCGGAGGAAAGAGAAACCTCCCTGTATCTTCAGTGGTTGAGGGGTGGCTTAGAGTTCCCACAGCATTTCATTAATGCACAAGCGAGCGTTACTAATATCCCGCGTGGATGACGGACAATTGTGCTTTGCGAATTACTGGTTTCTAATGGTGCGTCTGAGCTTTATTTTTTACAGCTGCCCTTGTCTTAATCCTTTACTTTTTGCTCCTTGGGGTCTAATGGTTTCTAGTTACATGTCAGCATTTAAGCAGCCGTCCGCCCGCCAGGCAGCACATGGTTGCTGAGGGTGATGGCACTGGGGCCACCACTCATCTCTGGCAGGACGAGTGCCCCTGCAAAGAGCCCAGCGAACTCCCTCGTCCGACTGGGCGGCAGCAGCGCAGGTGCGGGGTGCGCGCTAGACATCTAACCGAATGCCTTGTGCAAAAGCAGCTCAATAAGCGTTCCCGCCACGAGGCAAACTGCTCGGAAAGTTACTCTGTGCTGGCATCGCTGGGTCCGGGGTCAGCATGCTGAAATCGGGCTCATTATGCTCCTACCATGGCAGCTCGGCGCAATTAGCCTAACAGGATAATTTCCCGAAGCCATATGCTGATCTTTAGGGGAGGCAAGGCTTCCTAGGCCTGATGGCTCTGAGCTCTGACTGGCATGGCCCGGCTTCGAGCAAATGCCTGAAAATGAACAGAGCGGGGGGGACAGCGGCCTGCGCAGAAGCAGGAAACATGCAGGGCTGAGCGCGTGTTGACGATGGCAGCCAGTTGTTTCTCTTTCTTTTTCCCCCCAAGAAGGTTTCAGAGAAAGGTCAAGGGAGCATCGCTGTGTGCAAGGCTGTCCCTCCCCCTGCCCCCGAAATAAAATCAATGGAGGGACCTAGAACACAGTAAGTTATGTTCCGGGGCTGTGTGGCCCGGATTCCCATCAGACACCTGTCAACGCGAACTAGCACTGTTGGGAAATCTCTCAGCCGGCTCCGTTAATCAATACCTCTGTTCATTATGCCTCTCTGATGAATATGGGTAATGATTGGGGTGCCCGAGAGTCAGGTGACTAAAAATAGCCGCGCCTGGCTGAGGAGGGATAGATTTCCCCCAGTATCACTTCAGGCAATTCAATACTCAGCCGCCCTCCCGAGCCCCCTGGCCGTGCGATCCTCTCTGGTCTGCATCGACAGGGCAGCTTGATTAAATTAGTGGCACTTAATCTACTGTCATACTGTCAACTGACTCGGGGCAAACTAGCCGATGGCAGGTCGTCCGGCGACTCGGGAGGGCCACTGGCCACAGCGCAGGCGGTTCGATTCGCTCTGTGCCAGGAGCTGTCTTCATGGCGCCTCTTTCCTAAACAGGGGGACGTCCACCATTTAATAACATTTAAAACAAGTTTTAGCAAATGCTGTTTGAGGGAGGAGTCCTGCCAATGACACATCTGTGATGACAGATGAAAAGATCATCATTATGCCTGGGCTCCCTGCAGGAGTGTGTCTGTGACATTTAATCACCACGTGCCTCCACAGAGGTTGACTTCTTCAAAGTTGTTTAAACTTTTCATTTCTTCATCCTAACCCTGAAACTTGTCTGCTGGTACTCAAAGGAAAGGGAGGAGACCTGGGTAAGGCTTGGGGGCTGGCACCCCTGTTGTCTGGAGAGGGACCCTCAGTCAGTGGTATCTAAAGCAGGCTGGACAGCTCCTTGCTGTGGGCCTGACAGCCAGACAGGCACTCACAGCCTGTCCAGCTTCTTACTGGCCAGAGGCCTGGGCTGGGGATCGCTATAGAGGGAGGGTAGCTCATTTCCCTGGTTAGAGGTTAGAGGACATTGGAGAAGTGGGTGGTACAAGCTGGAGGCATTTGGACAAATCTGGCTCTAGGGATGAAGAGAAAATACTAAAATAGCAAGGGCGAGTCCTTAGTCTCCCTTCCAATCTTTAGCTAGGTTTGGTTTAAGAGGTGGGTAATGAGTAGGTAAACTCTTCCCCACTGTCCCTAAAGCAGTATGACAGGAGGAAATGTTGCTGGTTACCACATCTTTCTATTTGCTAGTTTCATTCCTAGATTATAACGAGCTCAATCCACAGAAAACCACTGCCAAGAGAATATAAACTGAAACACAGCAGTGAGTCTGAAATATATAGAGAGAGTCATTATCCAAGGGTCCTCAAATTTTTTAAACAGGGGGACAGTTCACTGTCCCTCAGACAGTTGGAGGGCCAGACTGTAGTTTTTTTAAAAAAACTATGAACAAATTCCTATGCACACTGCACATATCTTATTTTGAAGTAAAAAAACAAAACAGGAACAAATACAATATTTGTATTTGCATGTGGCCCGTGGGCCGTAGTTTGAGGACCCCTGCATTATCCTGTTGCTGCTGTCCACAAATTTCACAGGTGGGGAGGAAAGGAAGCCTATTTGCAGAAAGCTCAGGTGCAAAGGTATCTAAGTGCTTCCCTGGTCTTCCTTTCCTTAAAAGAGCTTGGGCAGAGGCTCTGGGGGAAAGGGATTCTGGAGACACAGAAAAGGCAGCCCCAAAGGATAGCTTGGCGAGGAAGGACTCAGGTCGGTGTTGGCGGGGCTCACCCGGGACTGGCTGGGATGGGTGTAACCCAGACTCAGCGTTGCCTTCTGAGCAAGAGACGAGTTTGATCTTCCTAAGAAGTATATGCAATAAACCAGAACTTAGTCCCAATAGGAGATTGACTCTATTATCCAGCAAGTGCGTTTCAATAGGTGAATTACAATGTGAGCTGACGTGTTACTAGGTGTATTTTGTAGAGGTCTGTTGGAGTTTGTTGGGGTTTCTTCAAATCAAGAAGGTAAGACGAGATCAGTGACTGATAAATCTTTAATATAAAAATTGTACAAGAATTTTGATACAAATTACAAGAGGTATTTGGACAAAATATGAATAAAATTCCATTTACATCCCCAAACCCTTATGCATTTTATGCAAAAGACATACTGTAGACAGTTATAGTACAGAAAATACAACCAAGGAAATAGCAAATAAAAACTTTTAATTCTCTTAGACTACCAGTAAAAACAAAACAAAACGAAAACCCTTGTTCAAGGTACATACAGTATTTATGAAGCTACCGACGTCACGATGATGCGACCAGGGTAATGCGCGCGGTCCCCATCCCTCGGTGCCGCCACCTTTCATGGTTCAGACTCTGGCTCCCCAACAGGCTTAGCAGACGAGACTGGTCTGATGCAGATGAGCACGACACAACAACAAAAAAGCAGAAACCCCCAAACTCTGGGGGAGGGAGCAGACATTATCTTGGTGAAAATTCCTTTTCCTCAAGATATTTCCTTTCCCTTTGGCCACTTCTGCTGTCCAATATGCAGGTTGAATCACATGTTTTTGTAACAGAGATGGGCCAGTGGGGGTGGGGTGGGGAAGAAAGGTGAGTGTCCTCCCAATCGGGTGAGGGATGCCGCCAGGTCTGAAAGGACCCACCATGATCTGCAGAGAACAGAGCGCTTTCCTCCCCAAAGCCCCGGCTCACCTCCACCTGCGAGGAAAGGCCCAGGTCGCCACAGACCGAAGCCTCCTGGTGTCTCCCCATTCCTCCCCCCTTGACCTCCACGGACCCACATGGAGCTCTCCTGCACTTCTCACACGGGCATTGGTAGGAAAAGGCTAAGATTTCTCCGCAGGGCAGCTGAACCAAAGTTTGCACAGGAAAGCAAGTGCACCGTATAGTATAAATCTTCCATATCGGGTTATATATGATACTAGAACATCTCACTCACTTAATTCACGTTATGTAAACCCTGGGCAGGGTAGCACACAAATGTTTCCAAAGCGATCAACTCGGGATGAAGGAGTGTTCTACCTTCTGGCTTCAGAAAAGATTTATTTTTTTAAGGGGGTGGGTGAGATCAGAAGAGCAAAGGGTGCAGTGGAAAGAGAATGGAAAGGTCAGGGGAGATTAAGATAGGCAATGAGAGGAATGGATTACTCCGTACAAAGACATGCAAAAACGCTCCAAATTGAGTACTAGGTGAAGAAAAAATAAACAATCAGCCTTGGTGTATACATCTCAAGTGAACCGACAAGCTCAGCACATTGTCCGGGAGTTCAAGAGCATCGTACCTCATGAATCAATGCTTCTCCCGGCCGCAGCACTGAATCACCGGCGGGCGGGGATGTTCTGACTCCTCGCATGGAAAAGGCAGGGAGCCAGGCTCCCACCGACACAGGGCCAGGTCAGGTCACCTTGCAGGGGGCTACCAAGAGGGTAGGGCTTTCCTCCCCACCCGCTTTTTGGAAAATGATGAGTGGGCCTCTCACACCTCCAGGGTCTCTCGAGAGTCACCTCTCAACCCTCGAATTCCCTAACAGACATGGGCAGAGCCGGGTAATAATGGATTGATTTGCCATCTTCCTTGTGCATTATTTCAACATCACATTTGGCAACAGGAAGCCTTATAAAGTCTTGGTATAGCACTTAGATACTCTCTCTTCAAGAAATATATTTTTATACTATCTATGTCTCTCCATTTTTGTTAAAATACCTTTTTCGGTTCTTCCTTCTCTTCAAAGATTCTTTAAAAAAATGAAGATTAAAAAAAAAAGCTTTAAAAAACTTAGAAATGTCCTTAAGCACCCCTGTTATTTAAAGGGGGAAATGCTACTCTGTGCATAGCAGACTCTGTGCAATTTTGGCAACTGAGTTTTTAATGAAAGATTCTAATATGATGTTTGAGAAATGATTGTAATATACACATACTGGAGGAACTTAAAAAAATCTCAGGTCAATTGCTTTTCTCTGACGCCGAGAATCCTTGCTCAAAGTGCTTTCTTCCCAGTACCCAGACTGGGTCATGAACCTGCTTAGCACACATTTGTCAAATCAGACCTGTGAAGGTGTCTGCCTCTAAGTATGCTTTGTTTCTCTCTTTCCATAAGGTCACATCAAAGACGACACCTACATGTGTCTTATTTGGTTGACAAATCTATTTGCAATGTAACTGTTGCAGCCGGATCGACAGCATCTATCAGACTGGCCTGGGGGAGCTGGAAGGAAGTGTGGGGTCCCCAAGTTCCATATCCCGAAGGTCACAAATAGACCTTGCACTTACTTTAGTCACTAATTAGCCACTTGTCAACCGTCCTTTATGTAGTTCAATATGCAGGAATAGCAGCCAATACAATGCCTACAGGTTACTTGGGCTCAAGGTATTTTGGAATATAACATTTTCACATGTTTTTCCTCAGTACCTTTTGTCCCCTCGTCACTTGATTTTGTAAAGCTCGTTGTACTTGTACTTGGGAAAATTCTCCCAATGTGGGGAATTTAACCTTTAGGTATAGGGTAGTCTCTGTTCCAGTGATTAGAATACAGACCCCCGTGCCTTTTATTTTTTCAGATTGTCAGTCCAGTTTAAAAAAGAATGAAGGTTAATCCGTCATGTCACACTGCAGGTTTGGAGGTTTTCATTGAGAGATACATCTATTCATGTAAAACAATGTTTGGATGCCAACGCTAAAAACAAGCGCTTTTCTTTACCACCATGCACAGCCAATTGGTTTACAATGTGAACTTTCTGAAGGGGAAGAAATATATTGTAAGGCTTCCCTTACAGAACAAGTCAGTGTCTATGCCACTAACGGGTGGGAAATTACAGGGCCATACCCAGTACTCCCCCAATGCATGGGTGTGCAATGGCAATACTTAAGTTCTAAAGATGCGAAGAATGCTGTCACAGCCAGCATCTCTCTACTGACCCTTTATTTAAGAAGTCATGTTGTTACTGTCCACTTAATGGCTGGAGAAGGTATCTAGAGGCAGCCCTGGGCTTAGCAAAGATGCAGTTTTGTGCGAGTATGTATGGGTCTAAGTGGTGGGAGGGGAGGGAGAGGTGGTAGAGGGAGGAAGAGAAAGAGAGAGAGAGAGAGAGAGAGAGAGAGAGAGAGAGAGAGAGAGGCTGATAGCAAGAGTGTGTACCTCAGGGAACGCAGTGGGAAAGCCTAGCCCTTGTACTCAATTTCCCCTTCACAAGGGATAAACAGGCAATTACGCATCCTTTTATATTTGATGGCCAAGTGCTGAACTGGAAAGCGCACTATTAGTTTGTGTCCCTTCAGGGCCAGGGCAATAAGTAGCCAGGGGAGCTGGGGCTGAAGCAGAGAGGGTGTTGTCTGCTGTTAGTGTGACAGTCTTGTCAGCAGCGTTCACATTACTGGAAGGTAATAAAGTGACAAGTAAGTTATTAGAAAGATATGAGGTGAAATTGAACCGAAGCTTCTCGCTGCTCAGCCCAGGCTTCTCCCTTTCCTCCTTTGTAATGGTCCATTATTTGTTACAAACCGAACCTTGTCTGGATGCTCTATATAGAAAAGAAGATTTTTTTTTTTTTGCAGTAAAGGTCAAATGAATTTACAGCAATGCTTTAGAGGAGAAGAATAAAGATAGTTTTATGACAACTATAGTACGTTGCTTCAAAAAATATATAGCATTATAATGAACAATAACGCTGATCCAATTCAGTGTACTTGTAAAAATGCCTCGTTTTTAACTCCCTGGTACTAGGCATTTGGATTTTTCAACAAATGCCAAAAAGACAGTACTGATGTCCAGCTCTTGCCGAATGACCACGTCATTCTGTGCAAGATGTGAGAATACGGATGACAGGGCCCGGGATGGATGCGTGTCTGGGCAAGAGCGATGATACATTAACGCACTGCTCACTTCTAGTTGGATTTACATAATTCTAATGGGAAATGAGCATTGATGGTGAGCCACTCTCCAACTACAGGAAATAGGAAAATGATTCTGGGACGGATCAGATGCGGCCTGAATACTAGCACAAGTAAGACTACAACACGTGGCTTAGTGTTGCCGGATGACGTGAAAACAGAGAAGTTAGTTGGATGTTCTGCAGGAAGGTAAATGAGCTCACATTTTGATCAAGAGAAGTTTAGCCAAGTAGCATTCCAATCATAGCTATGGGGGCGAGCAAAAGCAGTGATGGAGGACACACCCAGCTGGCTACCCCTCACTTCTACTCATCACAGTCAGGGCGAGGCTTGACCACCGGCCGTTACTATAACCTAGGTGGACCCATAGCATCCTTTTGCTTCCTAAGAAACTCCAGCATCACTTCACATTCCAAAAAGAGTCAGAAAAAACCTGCATGACTGCCTCGTTGGCCCTCCTGACCCTCAGGACCTTGAGCTGTTCCGCACAGCTGTCCTTGCTCTTCTCCTTCCTCACCTGGTACAGGCAGGGCACAGCATCAGCATGACCCCACCCACTGCCTGGCAGAATGGCACCAGCCTGGAACACACGCTTTCAGTGCATTTACTATTTCTTTTCTAGCTACACCCGAACAGGGTGGGTGCCTCCTCTACTTAGTGTGCCTCACTCACAGGGCCTCTGGAACAGCTGGGGTTCCCTCCAGTCTTTGTGGCACCTGCCTTTTCTTGCCCTCCTTACCTGTGGAGACCCTTCCCATTAAAAAAAAACACACAACAAAATAACACAAAGAATTGAAAAGAAAAAACCAAAATCCTTTAATAAATATTCCGAGTTTGGGGGAATATGTATTTTTTTAAAAAAATGAAATTTTTTTAGAATTTTTAAGAAAGAAGTTCTTGAGAAATGGAGCATGTAGATAGAAAGAAGGCAAGGTTTTTCTGGGTGACTTGTTTCTTTAGGAGAGCAGATGTAGCGTGTCTTATTACAGTTGAATTCTATTTACTTTGTTAGTCAATCTAACTCAACACTAACAGTCCAAGTACAAGTTAGGACTGCTCAGGTCAACTGCTAGCAGTTAGCAGCACGTCCACCTCAATCTGGTTACCGGTTTCTTTACGTTCCAATTGCCAAGGGCTCCCCTTCTCATTGGCTCGGCACACACCTGGGGTGTGTACAGAGGATGGGGAACAAAAGGTCACATTTGTTTTATTTGGTGAGAACCTAATGCATGGTTTCTCCTGAGTAAAATGAGGAGAATGCCTCTGGAACAGCCCATTCATGGTATAGTCAAAGCCTGCTTTTTTTTTTTTTTAAGAGCAATGTATACACTAACAGGGCTGTTAACCAGTTAAGTGCCATTTGCCTCTTACTGAAAGGGCCTGGAAATTCACAACCAAAGGAGTCCTATACTACAAAGACAGTGGCACCCTTGTGTTAAAGACGTTTTCAAAAACAGATGTTTATCATCTCCAGAAGGAAAATATTAACACCTGTAAACCTTTAGAAGGTGACAGGATGAACGGGGTGGCTGGACTATGACCGGAAATGCATTACATTGGGTTGAATTATTTCAATACAATTAATAGCAGAACAAAGAGTGTCAAGCTTTTTATCACATTTTAAAAACCAAATTACTTATTACCTATTCCTTTTCCTGCTCTTTGTCATCCCCCTCCATAGCATGCAGATATTCCCTAAAGCAGAAGCTTTTCTGATATTTACAAAAGCATAGTTTAAAGTGATCAGAACAGTAATTTCAACATCGTCTACTGAACATGCACATTCATAATACCTCCTAATTTTGTACCTGTGACAAAAGTCTGGTTAAAACCAATCAAATGGGAAAAAGCCGCTTGGATGAAAACCAGCGTCACTATTAATTTTCAGCCAGCACAGAATGGATGCAGCTAGAGAGAAAACATTGCACAATAAGAATCTCCTGTGAAAAGCAAATGAGTAGGGATGGGCAAAGATGAAGGGCTCCATGATTAACATGCTGATCTCTCTATCCTTCCTGTTTGCAAATAAGCCGTGGGATCACCTCTTAACTAGAGTGGTAGGTAAGTTAAAACATTGCACACAGGCACACACCCTAAACCAGCAATACGTTGGGACTAAAAGCATTGTGTTTCATGATCCACTCCCCCTGTCCCTTTTAGGCAAATCGGCTTTGTGTTGGAAAATGTTATTCACCCATGTAGAAGGCCACCATTCCATCTGGGCATTTGAGGCACAAAGGAAGTAGCAATTTGGGAAGATATGGAAGTAGGGTGAGCTGTCCAGGACTCACTGCCATTTCTCTGACAAAATGCCGCCGAGCACTTCCCTGTTTCCGAGCGAGGGAATTTCTACTTTGGGAATCTCGCCGCATCTAGACTTGTTCTAACTGGCTATCCACCTTAGCCCGATTGTGGCAAGTAACACATTAGTTCTAAGCCTGGTTCATTTACTGATGTGACCTGCTGAAAGCTAGGTAAGTCACTCACTAGGGCTGACCTAGTCACCTTTCAGGTGACATTAAATTAAACAGGCTAAGCATTGATTCTGTACAGGATGAGTTCCAAGAGCTCAACCAAGAGTGTACCTTTAAAAAAAATAAAAATGTGTTATTTTAATAGAACTGGGTACAATTCTGTCTCCACACACTCCAAAAAAGCTAGTGTTTCTGTGATCTCTTGTTGGGATGCGAAAAACATTTCCCGCACCCTTTTGAACGGAATCACTTGGTAATGGGTCAACAGCGCAACACAGAGAACGCTAAGAGGACCAACATGTTTGCAAACAAACTTTCATTATTCTAGTTCAATCTTTCACAAACATACTGTACAGAGTCTAATATGGTATAAAACAAAAGGAAACATCTCTGTCTATTCCGTTTAACACAACATCAAAATAAAGCCATTAGGACTTTGGGGAATCCAAAGGTACAAGAAAACAACAACAGTTATTACTAATTCCTCAGCTTTTTTACCGTAAACATTTGTCATTTAAGAGACATAGTGTTTAGTAAGGTTTCTTTTGTACTGCAAGTACTTTTGGTCTTTCCTCACCGTGGAACAAATGAAGAATTAAATGAACCCCATAGCATCCTCTGAAGGAGATGAAAAGATAAAGCTCCAAGACACATCTAGCTTATCTCTAAGAATCTACTGTTTCTGCACTTTTCACAAATAAAAATACTGAATCCACAACTAATGATGCTCATTTTTTGGAAACAATAAATACTGTGAGGTACAATAAGTCCTATAGGAATAACAACAACAGAAACATATCAATAGTTTCCTTTGGCAAATTTAACGGAAGTGAATGCTGATGTGAACATAGAAAAAAAATAATTACAAAAATACGAAAAATGGAAATGAAATGAAAAGCTAAAACACAAAGGGGGTAGGTATTTCTAACATTTAGATTGACGAGAAATGTTTGAGGCCATTAAATGCAGAAAAGAAATACATTCTCTTGAAATTACTGTGTACTGCTTGACAAACTATTCCTTGTTTATCTTTCCGCCCCTTCACTTAAGAAAAAAAAACAAAAAACAACAAAACACAGTCTGCAATGCACACCCTAATGGTTTTGGCTGCAGACTGAACTAGAGTAAATGTCATCATTTAGTCAGTATGTTGTGGTAGCTGAGGCTGCCAATGTGGTTAACCAGCTCAGGCAACGTGTGTAAACATCAGAAACAAAACAACACAAAACAAAACAGGTTTGGAGAATCGTCTCCCCTCCACCCCCCCTTTCTCACTCTCGATTGCTTGGTTTTAGGCTTACACAAAACACTAACCAGTGAGAGATCCTGTGTTAAACCCCCGTCCTCTGGCTTTTCAGAAGGGAGTGTTGCTCAATTCAAGGTCAGCACATGTTTTAAAAGCTTCCAAGTGCGGCTGCTGTTCAATGCCCTTTGATTTTGTGTATCAAAGGGGCCTGAATCACAGCGCTACTGCAGGACTTGCAACAAATCAGCCAGCCATACAACAGCCCCGCCCAGCTCAGACTTTCTCTGTCTTTTTAAAGGATACGGGTTAGGTCCTTGGAAATGTGTGCTCAACTCTCTTAGTGTATGCAGCTTTGTTCCATAGTGAGTACTTTGGGCTTTTGTATCCTGAAATATTATCCTGCCTCTAAAGAATAAATGCCGTGGCCGTTTCACACCACATAATTTTGTTTTCCTTTTATGTTACTTAACATATAAGCAAGAAGGATGCAATGTTGATTCTAATAACATTCGGCACTTGAAAGAATCACCAAGTGTTCCTTTTTTTTAAAGCGGTTTTCTGGTGGCCGACAAATTGGCCTGTGGTTATGTTGAGTGACTAATTTTATTTTCTTTTCTGGAAACTTGTGCAAAGTTGGCAGTTTTGTGTTAACATTAATACTTTTGTTTGGCATTTGTGCCCTATACTGACCAGACCGTTTTTATGCAAGTGAATTTTTTTTGTTGTTGTTAAAAAAAGACACTTATTTAAAGTATGGCAATAGTTTAAGGGTAAAAAAGAAGCATGGATATTACACATCCCCTTGTAGTGTATGAAAAAAAGTGCATGACGGGATTTATGTACTAGTACAGGACGTTTAAAAAATCAGATCTGTGCTGTAAAGCATGCCAGCACCTCTTTATCACTATTATCTAGCAGGTAGTAAAAACAAGACCATGTTTTTTGTTTGTTTTTTTAAAAAAATGTGCATTAATGCTAACATAAATGAGTAGAGCTAGCCAGCAAACTATTTTTTTTTCCTGCATATCTAACAGCTGGATGTAACTGTAAAAGTTAAACAAAAGAGATAAACAACATCAATACAATTGTTTTACATCATTAGCCTCTCAAGGCTATATATTTACAGGTGAATCTGCCATGCTGTAGTTGAAGATTCTCTCAAAACTTTAAAGTTCACAAAAGACAGCTATTAAGAAGTTCCTTTTTTGTTTCATTTTTCTTTTTTTTTTATCCCTTTTCTTTCTTTCTTTCTTTTTTTTTTTTTTGCAGGCAACAGTCATGGGTACAACAAACTGTCTCTTTGGAGAGGACCAAGAATTACCTTTCTGTCAAAATTTGGGCTACTTGCACGCTTTATGTGTGTGTGTATGTGTTTTTAAAGGGTACTTAGTTTTCACTCCCAAATGAAAGGTCCCACCCCTTTTCCAAAACTATAAAGGAAAAAAAAATTCAAAAGCACTTAGTGTTTATCGTTTTATATCTAAAGAAAAGAAAATGTGTGTGTGTGTGTGTGTGTGTGTGTGTAGACGCAGAGGCATACCTGTGTACACGTACACACACACGCACACACACACACAAGTACACAAGCACACACTGACTATGGCAGTTCAAATATGTAGGCCGTCTGGTGAGAGCTGGCATTGGTAGTGTCCGTTCTGAGACTAATCTACTGACACGAAGGGAATGTTTTTGTGGAGATTAGGGTTCTGACTGTGCCGGTTTCGGCTTCGCACAGAGGAAAACATCATGTTGCAACCGGGGACTTTGCACTTGTGCATTTCCCGCAAATGCACCGTTTTGTAGTGCACCCTCAGAGTCCCCTTGTTGCTGTACATTTTGTGGCAAATGTTGCACATAATCCCACCATTGCTCCCGGACAAGCTGTTGAACATCAGAGATCCCGACACTTCAGCCCCGAGGCCGCCAGGGAGGGCGGGGGCCTCGGCCTTGTGCGCGGACTCCCCACTGTCACTCGCCCCGTCGATGTCGTCGAGAAGGATGCCCTCGTCGCTGCCCGCGTCGGACTCTCGGGAGGAGTGGATGCTGCTGCTGGACTGCAGGCTGGAGGTGGTGCTCAGGTCCAGGACCATGTAGTCCTCCGCCATGCCGCGCCCGTACCCGTTCAGGTGCGAGTCCTCGGTGCCCGCGGGGGAGGAGGCCTCTTCCCTGACGTCCAGGCCCAGCGGGTGCTGCGCTCCATAGATCTTCATCAAAAATTCGTCCCGGAGGTCCTTGCTAAGGGAGGGCTGCGAGGAGTCCAGGCCCATGTCATCGAGTTCTTTGGTCAACAGTTTCCGATGCAGATTTATGTTGGCACTGTGTCTAGGAAAACAAGAGGGAAGGGGGGTGGGGGGCGGGTAGCGGGTAGCGGGAGGGAAGGGGGAGAAAAAGGAGAGCATTTTAAAATGGATTCGGCTTTTCGCTCGGCATCAAATAAGCACATTCATTGCTAATTACACCATTATAAAAGCAAACATTTCCCCACATCCTCAGGATTTGGGAATAAGTGGTGGTGGGAAGTGCAATAAGGGAGCTTTTCATTAACATAATTTTTATAAGAGAGTAAAATTCTTCAATGGTAGGGTGAATGGGAACCCAGGCGACTCTTTCTCAATGATTGTTCTGTTTGCTTTGCTAGGTCGCAGCATTGGCTACAGACAATCTCATAGCAGAGGTTTTAGGACAGAAATTAAGTGGGATAAAAGAGTGGGAACTTGCTGCTTGTCAAAACTGAATATTTTAAATTGACCTAAAAACAGAAAACCTTTTTTTTTTCCCGACAGCAAACACTTTATTTAAAAAGGATCCACTTTAAAAATAGTATATAATCTAGGTAATTTAGGTTTAACTTAGAAAATAATGAAATCTTGCCCCTTACCTTCCCACACTTCAAGTTTTAGATAGGAAAAAAAAATTAGCTGAGTATATTAGCAATTAGAAATAGGGTTTCAGACTTTTTAACATACATGCTTTTTCCCAGATTGATTTGGGATATCCGCTAAATATAATAGTAAAACATTTTACAATTGAAAAGTTTTCGGAAGTTGCTACATTTTAGAGCTGAAAAATTTTCATTAGGCAATTCAACTTTTTAAATTTAATTATTTTTTTTTTAAAGTTGAAAAACAGATACTGCGTTTTGGAAAAAAATAAAACCCACCCACCTTTTTTAAAAAAAAATCACATTAAACAATAGGAAACCCACAGGGACAAAAGGAATAAAATGCCCACAATAAATACAAAAAAAACAATAAATCAAGCACAATGATAACATATGGTCTCTGTAGGGTAACAATGGAACCCGTATTTCTTAGACAAGCAAAACTTTTCCTCCACTCACTGAGTGCTTTGCTTGTGTAAAAAAAAGGTAGGATTTGTCCCAGAACATCCATAGGGATGTCATGACTTCCAAAACCTGACACGTCATTATCTCTCTGAAGACATGGCCTGTGTATTTACATCCCCCGTTTATTTTCAAAGTGCCCTTGGGCATATACCTCTCGCCACCTGCAAAGGCTCACATGTTTCACAAGCACCTAAATTGAGGGCTACCCTTCCAGAAGATAAACCAGTAAACAAATTACGGATACATAAAAGCTTCCCCACGATGGCAGAAGCTTTATATCTTGGAGAAGTCATTGTGATCATCGAAATGACCTAGAATAGCCAGCATCAGGTTCACCAGACCTCCTGATTACTAAATAGAAAGTATGGAAGACCCAAACGAGTCACTGCGTTTGGTGACAAGCATGGCTAGTATTTTTTAGAGGTGGTTGAGAGGTATGTGCCTCAGAGACAAGAAAGGTGAGAAAGACTTCCCCACCTTTCCACACAAAACAATAAATATATATAGCACTCTGGGCGTGAAGGGGGAGAGGGCACAGCCCTCTCCACACTGCGCTTAGGAAGGCTGAGCTTACCTTGTGATAATAAGATCAGCTTTCTAATCTTTTGCTAAATCGATCACAAAAGAAAGCAAGAATGAGAGACAGAGAGAGAGAGAGAAAGAGAGAGAGAGAAAGAGAGAGAAAACAAATTCACATTCTAGACATTTGGTTTTTAAAAAAACAAACAACAATATAGGGATTTAAAATGTTCTGATCACAAAATCATTTTCTGTCATAAGCGATCATCTCATATGCTGTCTTGATGATTTTTAGATCAGCTGCATAATCCAAAAATCATAAATGAAATTAAGATAAAACAAATTCACAGCATCAGCGTCATCCATAAATGAGTTCTACACAGATGCATGCAGGGTGCAGAGAGGTGAATGATAAACAGAAGTTGTCCCCATGATCCCTGCTCTGACACAGTCTCCCCATTTCTTGGTGTCAGATGGCAGATAATCTCTCCAAGTGCAGGTTGCTAAGCAGAGCGCAGGAAATGCCTACTGCGACATATGGGCATGACACCACCAGAGTTATTACAAGAACGTGGAAAGAGAGTTACACTGTGCACTATCACTCTGCTGATAAAACAATCTGCCAGCTATAAGCAGCTCAGGAAATCGTACACTTTTCTGTTTATTATCTTGAACACCCTCCCTTGCTTTCTTAATTTCACAAGCACACATTCTGCGACTGCCTGCAATCTAGAACTCTGGGTTCCTTCTCAGACATCTGCAGTTACCACTTCCTAGACTGACTGCTGAGAACACAGCAGTCACATAAAGAAACACTGAATAAGGAAGAATAAATTAACATTGACAAAAGGACACACTGATCACCCAGATGGACATCTTTTCTAAAATGACTTGTGAAATTACACATCTCCACCGATATGTTACCAGGAAGAGATGTTTCTCCTCATTTCTCACTTAGAGCAATAGAAATCTGTAATCTAATTAGATGATGTACCAGCCCTCAATATCTGTCAGCCAAACGATGTGCAGAAATGTGTAGACCCGCTCTGGCCCTCGGCTCAACAGTGTCCCTTTTCCGCTGTCAGCAGTACTGTTGGCCTCTGCTAATATAATTACATTGACTTTTATTCAATTAAGTGCCATCCTTCAGTTAAAAAAAAAAAGCTACTTTATCAATTGATTCAGGTGTAATGCAATAATAGAGATGAACTCATGGCAGTGCATTAGCTCTGCTGTTCGTAACTTCAGTACATGGGTTCATTCATGGTAGTCGATTTCCATTATGCAACCACAGTTCAAGGGAATTGATTCTTTATGTTCATTTTTTAATTTATTCCATTTTTGTTTAATAATCCTCCTAAATGCCATATGCAAAACACTTGAAGTGGGGACAGGAAGGATGAGCTGTGGCAAGCCTGCTAGTTGACTCTCATGATAGTGAGCTTTTGAGATTTTCTAACAAACTCACACAGTATTGCAGGGGTGGTAAGAGGAAAAGCAAGAGAAGGAGAAAGACTGAACTCCTTAGAGTACTGATCCTGTCCCTTCAGACATTAGGTTCAGCCTCTAGAGAATGGACAAATGGCAGCACTTGCTTTTAACAAAGACCTATTGTCAGACTCTGGCATCAGCCAATCCAAACCGTTAACTGTCACAAAATACTGTTTTCCTGAAGAGTTACAAAGACCTGGGGCCAACAGCAACTTTCAAGTTTCTTTGGATCAGAGAAGTGAAGAGGTAAACAGAAAGGGAAGATGAAAAAGGCACAGAAAGAACTCATGCTATACACAGAGGATCCCCAATTGGGAGGAAAACCTCAGAGTTCTGGAAATAGGAGGACCCCCTTGGAGAGGAAGAGGAAGTCATATGCAGTTGTGTAAGTGGAGGGAGGAATCCACGAAGGAACCAATTTTGAGTTCTCTAGAAAGAGAGATGGTTTATCTAGAAAACAGACTGTTTTGAATGTTTGTCTCCAGAAAAGGGGGGAAAATAATCATTAACAAAATTCCAGAATGTATTAGAACTTGTATTTTACGAGATTATAACTATATAAAAGCTGTTTCTACTTGCTTTGATTAGGTCAGCAATAGAGATATGAAGAGGCAAATTCCTCTCACAGAAAAAAAATGACTGGGGTAGAGAGCGAAGATGAATTCACCAGCAGAAATGATAAGGTTCTGGTATTATTAGGGATCTGGTCTTCATGAACACAGCAGTGCTTATTAAAAGACTGGTCCCAAACTTAGCTCCAAGATGTTCACTTTCAAGAATGACACAAACTAAATCTGATTCGACCTCCAGTCTCTTGCAGTAGACTGCTTTGCACATGGGAGATGCTGAAAAATACATTTATTTGCTTTCAATCAATATTATGCATGAGTCTTAAGAAGCTTTCCCAAAAATGCCCTGTAGAAAACAATGATCCTAAGATTGGAATCATGTAACGGAGGAATATTTAAGCAAATACAATGGTAATACAGCAGAGGGTAATTCTGACCCCATTAATAATCCACTAGTGTGGTGCAAGGAACTGCTATGTAATTAGGGTGTGAACAGTCCTATACTTTGGGCTATGCTTGGAATTACAATGTTCCCTCAGACCCTCTGCACTCTATGTTTACCAAAACCTCTTGAAAACTAAGATCACCCTTAAAAGCAAAAAGTAACAAGGCCTATTATTATATAGGAGAGATCATAACACCAAACTTATTTTTTGAAATGCTAAATGGAAGTACTCTGACTGAAAGTAGACTATATATATATATATATTGTGTGTGTGTGTGTGTATACTAGTATGTATATATGTATATATATGGGGATAGAGAGATACATTTACATCCAATCTGGAAAAATCTAGATGCCAGGTTTGGGTGTACTGTGGGATATTGAATCAACAATATTCCTGGACAGAAATGTAAATCTGCTATCCAAATTGACAGAAGAAAAATTAATTTTGCCCCACTTAATCCTCTTCTTATCTGGCTTGCTATAACACTACCTGTTGTCCTTAACTGCTCAAAATTTTTATATTACCATTTATTAATTGTAGGATACTTAGTCTTGTGAATTAAATGACATTTTTGATAGTATGCATTTCTGCAAAAAACTAGTCTCTGTTTTATAGGTTATTATTTAAAAATTCTCTCCAGAAGCTCTGAAAACCATTCCTAGCTCAGAAAAAAAAAACACCTCAATGTAAAATTCTAATGAACAACATTTTAAAAAAATACATAAAGTAAAGAAGTACATATTAAATGCAAGATGTAAAAAAGCGAAGCAAATTCTTGCAAATTAAAAGTATGAAATGCAGTCACTTCAATCCCTTTCAATATAAAACAAATCATCCACACTGGTCACGCAGACAGTTCCCACTACATTCAAATTATTCACTTGGAGATAAGCTCCCACCAAACTCTTTAGGGGTTTAGCTAATTTACTGCACAGATACGGCACGTCT